CTAAGTAACAAAATATTGTGAAGCTCAATTTAGAAGTGATGCTAAGCTTTCACAGTCAACAGGAAGGGAGAACATTGTAATTTTCACACTCACAGTGAAAGCTGTGATACTACAAGGCTACGTCTACACTGCAGGCTTTTTGTGCAAGAACAAGTGTTCTTGCGCAAAAACTTGACGGGTGTCTACACTGCACATGTGTTCTTGCGCAAGTAAATTTACAGTACAGCGTAGGAAAACAGGGTTTCTTCCAGAAGAGTTTTTCCTCTTCCCATGAGGAATAAGCCCTCTTGCACAAGAGCTCTTCCACAAGGCAGTGAAGACAGGCAACATGATTTTCTTGTGCAAGAAAACCCTATGGCTAAAATGGCCATCAGAGCTTTCTTGCACAAGAGAGCATCCACACTGCCATGGACACTCTTGCGCAAAAGCACATGGCAGTGTGGCTGTGATCTTGTGGAAGACCTATTGCACAAGAACTCTTGCACAAAACAGTTCTTGCGCAAGAAGCCTGCAGTGTAGACATAGCTCAATAGTAGCGCAATCTGAGGGGACAGATACATTTCTGCAAGAAGCATCTATTTTATTCTCTATATCAGCAATAATATAGCCATAGCAAATGGTGAATGATGCATTTTTAACAAAGGTTTCCTTTCATACCCATCCTTACATACCTCAGCTGAAAGAAAAAGCATTTGCCACAAAGAAGTGCAGTGACATGCACTGAAAACATTATCGTGGTAAATTCCAAGTGCTAATCTGAAAATGTATCATGCAAAAATAGCACCTTTTTATTTAAAATTAATTTTCCCTGTATATTCAGAATAATAATTACTTCCTTTTCTGATTAACACTTTTTTTTACTACTTATTATTCTAGTTACTACTACAAAAACATTGCATTAAAGGAGAGTGAGCTAGATATCACAGCAACAAAACTATTAACCAAAATACAGTTTGTTTTCAAAGCATCAAACAGAAAGAACCCTATGTGACTTTCAGGTTAGTTTGTAAAAGTGGAAGTTAAATAACACAAATGTTTTATTTTCTTATTTACAAACTGAACAGCAAATCTGGTTGACAGACTGAAAGAGAACACCACTCCATTTTAGAATAACTTTTAGAAATGACAGAGTGGATTTAGGATTTAGTTTAACCTGTTCAGAATTTAAGAATAAAGACAGACAAAATATAAGAGGATGGAAAGAAGGAAAGAGAAAAAGGAGAAGGTAGGTGGAGCAACTCTATTCCACTATCTAATCTTATGAGTTCCCAAATAGGTTGGGACCAATTTAAAATGCTTTGCTTTGGAATCCAAACAACATTGGAAAAAATTCCAAGGTAAATGTGGAAATGTTTCTCCCTTAGAAAAAGATGAATGCTTTTACTCTTGCTATAGGATAAGTATAAAATTAAAATATTAAAGTTAACCTATGCTTGGTTAAGAAAATATCGTCACCTTATAGTTCACAGGTAGGCTCCAATCTGCAAGTAAATGAAGGTCATGAGAATAGTAAGTAATGTTACTTACAGTATGGGAAGGATGTATGGTTCTAAAAGTAACTAATAAAGTAAAAAAGGTTCAGTAATAAGATAAAGAAAAACTGCCTTAAAATAAACAAACCCAAATCTTCTCAGTGTTCTACTGATAAGCAAGGAGGTGGAGAAGAAGATAAGAAAGGAAGACCTTGGGGGAAAAAGAGACCGAGAATCTTTTATGGATTAAGACTAGAAATAAGGGTGAATTGTATCAAATTGATTTTTAACTGAATTCAATAATTGCCAATGACATCACTTGTTTGTTATAGGATATAAACAATCAACTTTTAAAGAAGGCTATTGCTAATATCTGACTGACTATGCTGGAGTAGACAGACTTCTTGGTTTACCTTTTTGTAAGTATGTTGATCACATGCTTATAACAAAGTGTTGTTATTATACTGAATGTAGTAACTGTTTATTGTTAAACTATCAGACATATTTAAAGCATCTTCATATTGTAACCTTTGGTCTTTTATGGTTAAATTAGTATTCGGTGGTTTTCCTTATCAATATTAATAATTTCAAATATTCCATCACATGCCTCTAAAGCAGGAACGAGGAACAACAAAAACAAAACAATGAAAATTTCATGCATAAAAATACTTTCCTTCCAAGGACAGAATGAAGAACCGTCAGATAAATGACACTCCATGATTTTATACTTACCATGTTCCACTGAACTTAAATGACAAATCAGTGTCCATAGATTTATAGCTGAAGACATCTGACATGGCTTAACTAAGGTGATTTCTAGATACTAAATCACTATGTTATATGTACTAGTTTTATATTAGGATCACTTTTAATTTTAGAATTTTAGAAACTTAAAATACAAGAATTACCAAAGCCACATACATCCCTCTAATTTTGCCTTTTTACACAAGGGCTTTTCAGAAGGATTTCAACCCTTCTACAGTGGTTGAGAAGAGGAAATCCTTCTACGACTGAAGGTGGGGCTTTCAGAGCCATTACAAGCATACTGTAGCCAGAGTCAAGGTGAATATTTCATGCTAGATTTGCTGGGAAGCTCTCTTTACAAATATAGATGGATACTATCATAGTGTAAAATGCTTGCTTCCAAAACCTATTAAGAAACCTAAGTTTGGTATAGGTTCTAATTTCATTCAACTTTACCCATACTGTCCAAGCAAAGCATATTTGGAAAATGAGTTAGCTCGAACAATATTAAAAGATCAGTACAAATGGCTCTACAATTAGTTTCACTAAACCAACAGAATGAAAAGATACTAAGCATAGTCAATTTCTCTTTCAGTTGTGGGCAAAGAAACTACAGGAACAGTTCTAAAAAGAAGGGTTTAAAAAAAAAGAGAAGTATAGAGTATAGAGTATCAGAAGTATAGCATGTACAAAGTTATTAAAGAACATATACTTTTCTGTACATTTTACTTGTAATTACTTGATGAAAATTAATATATCTAATAAAAGTGGAAATAATTACTATAAGTACTAGAAAGTTATAGAGAGCTAAACTGTATCACTAAACTCACCTCATACCCTGCACCACTACAGGCGTAACCCAAGAAGGAATTATGCCACAGTGTATCACAATTCTTCCTCTGTTTCCCCTTTACTTTGGATGGGAGTAAGTTACTTTACATCTTATTCCCTACTCCGTGTGCCTGGCCAGATATAGCCATAACTTGTACCCCGCTTCTTGCTAGAAAGGGCAGGGAGAGAGAAATATTAGGACAAAAGATCCCTTTTCTACACCATCCAACCCATCCTCAACCCAGCCCTCTATTGCAGCAGCAATCTGAGAAGGCCTTACTCAGACATGCAGGGAAATAAGGGTGGAGCCTTAACAATCTTTCTTAGGCTACGTCTACACTGTGAAGCTATTTAGGGATCCCGGAAGTATCCTGAAATAGCTATTCTTTATCTTTAAAGCAACCCATTATTTCAAAATATAATGGGCTCGTTATTCCAACATCCCTGTAAACCTTGTTCCAGAAGGATGAAGGGACTTTTCAGAACAGTGACTTTAAATAAGCTATGCAATTTGCGTAGCTCAAATTGCATAGCTTATTTCAAGCTAAGGGTGCAGTGTAGATGCACCTTTGCTTCTCTGCATGGCAAAATAGGGATTTGAGATACTCCAACACACAGCGTGCAAAACTTTGATTAAAAATATTCAAAGAATTTAAATGCAAACTTACAGTAATAAAATTTTACTATTGCTCAACGTTATAACTTTCACAGCAATCATGATTCAGTCTCACTGCTTAAAAAGAAATGTAGCCTCTAACACTATATAATGGAATATAAATAAATAATAATTTGCCTCCAAAATTAGTTACTGAAGAAGTCATTATTTTGACTTGTGTGTAAAACTTCAAATATTGTATTAATATTATTTTCACATATAGCCTAATAAAACTGCACATCTTTCTTGGGAAACATTGCTTTTATAAATCAGTTCATTATATTTTTAAACCTAGTGATTATGAATCCTAACTAAGCAAGATGCTCAATATCTACAGTCTTCAACATTAGGGCAAGTTGTGCTAGAAATGCCTCTCATATATTTTAATGCATTAAGAATTACTGCATTCCTTGTCCCATGTATGAACTAACAGATTGCATGCAACATCCTTTAAAGAGTAAGAAAGTCAAGATAAGCAGCCATAACTCTTCAACAAGGTAACACCAATCCCAGTCATCTTCTGTTGGGTGGTGCTGATAAGGGTAGACAATATGCTCAATGCAAAAGCCAGAAATGAACAAGAAAAGTCTTGATCAAAAAGTTCATAATTCACAGAAGAAAAACACTGCACTAAAGTTCCACAATCTAACCAGGTATCAAGCCCACTACAGAAACAATGATGGCAGCATGAACTGTCTGCTGTAGTGTAGTTACAGAGACACCAGTTGTAAATATCCATGAGAATACTTGTTTGCCAACTACCCAGAACAAGCATCATAAAACCCGCGTGGTATTCAGGTGGGAATGGACTCGGCGATGGAAGGGAGGCGGATCTGACAGCTGGCCCAGGGCTTTCCCCTGGCTCGGTGAGCGCTGGAGGGGGAAGACGCGAGGTGTGCGGGTGGGACACAGGCAGGCGGAGAGAGCAGTGGAAAAGGGGGGGAGGCACACGCGAGGATGAGGTGAGTGGGCAGCCGAGGGGCGGGCAGGCAGATGACAGAGACAAAAGAGGAGCACGGGCGGCAGGTTGGCCGGTGGGGGAGCGGGGGGCATCAATCCAGACACCCCGGGGATGGGCGTCACTGGACGTGGGCAGAAGGCTCCGCTCCAGCCGCAGCCCGTTCGGTCCCCGACTGTAGCGCAGAGCAAAAGCCGCAGCCGGGGGGGAGCGGATGGATCTCCGTCCCCCTCGCCCCCCCGCCAGCACAGCTCCAGTGGCCGCCGCTCAGCTCCAGATACGAGGGAACAATGAGGCAGCCGAACGGAGTCGTAATCGCGGCCCAGCGCCCGGCACTCACCCTCCGCTCTGGAGCGGATCTCGGCCACTGTTTTCTGCACCGCGGGCATCGTCGCTGGCTCGGAGAGGGCGAAGCCGCTGCCTGCGTCCTAGCTCGGCACCTGTCGCTGCCGCCGCCCCCACTCCAGATCCGCGCGGCTTTGCCCGGGGCCCCGCACGAGCTGGGCCGGGCGGGGTAGGGGAGACCGTTGGGTTCGGCCTCACGCTGCGGTCACGCGCCCCGAAAACGGGCCGGTTGAGAGACTGCTGCCGCTTGCAACTGACAGTCGCGGCGCTAGCGCCGCTCACTCCCCCGCCCCCACCTCCGCCCCCAGGAACGTACCAACTTCCACCCACCCGGCATCGCCAACAAGGGGCCACTGCGGCCGCCCTCTTTTCTTGGGGTGAGCAGGCTCCGGACCCCACTAACGCTGCTCTATGGACCTGCCTTCCAGAGGCAAGGGGCGCTTGCGGACCGTTCCGTCTCCCCCTGTGCTTGGAGAAATGGAACGTGCCGCGCCTTGGGCCTCTGCCAGACACAAGAAGGGTGCGAGGAACGCGCCGCTCCTCGCTGCTGCGGTCCGGCTCCCACTGAAGACGGAAATCCAACCTCGGGCCGCAGCCCAGCTGTCCAGACAGGGCCGGGCTGCCCCCCGCTCCCCCGCCCGGGAAGGAGGGTGACACTAGCGAGGGGCTCTGCGAGGAGCAGCGCTGCGGGGCCCAGAGCTGCACTAAAGACTCGCCGGTGGGCCCGCAGCGGCACCTCGACATTCAGGGCCCAGGCCTGACCTACCCATGCGGGGAACTGCGTAGGGGCGCAGCGATGCTGAACTGCAGGTGGGGGGGGGGGGGGCAGCGGGACGGTGGGCAGACGCCCCAGCAACCGCGGCTCGTAGGTTTTAACCAGCCCTTCTGATACCCGCTGCCGCACGGGCTGATTGGGGCGTTAATTGCCCCTGAAACGTGTTCCGAGCCGGGTCACGTTCCCAGTGCAGAATGGCTGGTCAGCTGCTGCATGTGACGTGCCCTTTCCGCTAGGCTTTCCAAGGGCCAAAAGAGCAGGTCAGATGTGGGACTCGCTTACGCCTCTGAAAAGGGGATCGCTGTCACTTCTCTTTATTTGTGCCGCACGGGCTGATTGGGGCGTTAATTGCCCCTGAAACGTGTTCCGAGCCGGGTCACGTTCCCAGTGCAGAATGGCTGGTCAGCTGCTGCATGTGACGTGCCCTTTCCGCTAGGCTTTCCAAGGGCCAAAAGAGCAGGTCAGATGTGGGACTCGCTTACGCCTCTGAAAAGGGGATCGCTGTCACTTCTCTTTATTTGTCCAGTGCCGTTGCGAGGCTGGGTGCAGGTCAAAATATAGACAAGGACATGGTAACCCCTTGCAGAAGCTGAAGAAGAATGTTAAGCTATTTTTTTGAAAAAGCATCACAGTGATATGTGCTCCTGTGGATCAAGATGACTTTTAAAAAAAGTTTCTCCCTCCTTCCTCCCTCCCCCCCATTGTTACATTTTTTCAAGCCTGCCCCATATGACATTAAGCACTTCTCCAGTGTGGGCTGACAGTTTCAAACAGTAGTTTCCACAGCAGAGCAGTTTCACTTTTAGACTTCTCCTTTGATGTTAGCTTTGAACTGCAATAGGAAGATGAAGATAACTGGAGTGTTGCAGATACAACAACCTGATGGGTGAAAGAAAGACAGTGTCTTAGGAAAGATGGTGGGACTTTGAGCAGCAGGTCTTGATAGTATATTAAGGTTTGTATCCATTTTAGTAAGGTGGTATACAGACTACTTGGAGAGAAGGCAGCATAAAGTGCTACTGCCACAGAAAACTAGAGAGGATTTACTCTTAAATGCACACTAAAGACAGCCTTGAGTCCTCCAGAAATTAATCTTGTAATTATATGTACTATCTAGAGAGGAGAAAATCCCTCTAATCTGGTTTATGGAACATTCATGTAGACAGGAGATAAGATAATTTGTTTCTTAATTGACATAAGGTCCTTTTGTTGGTAAACTATGCTAAAATTTAATTGTATCCACATAATCAGTTAGGCAGTTGGACAAAAAGTACTTCAGATGCAGAATAAAGTGAATTGAGTGGGACTTGAGTATCTCCATCCCCACAAATCAATTAGCCTTAGCACATATTGTTTCAGAATTAACCTAGGGCTAGTGGCATGAGAGGAGGATGTTGTACTGCATAATGGGAAATCTGGATTTAGGAATAACTGGATTTCATCCAGGCTTTAGTCTTCCAACAGTGTTTTTGGCTACACTCCAGAAGAAAATGTGGTTCTTTGCACCATCACACTGCAGCAGGCATACAGGAAAGATTGCAGGGTGACCATTTATTCATGCTTTCTGCTAAAAGTAAGGAAAGGATATCTGACATTAAGAAAATCTTATTTAAGAAAATATAATACTACCTTTCATGCACAGCTTTAACAAACACCAATTAACCACTGTAGGCTAGATTCTTCAGGGAACAGCACATTTATGAATTTATTTTTTACTGAGACTCCCTAGAACTCTCCCACTAGCAGCCGTTCAGGAGAGGAGTGATTCTGCACGTCTTCCAGTCTGCAAGAACAGAACCCTAAGAAGAGAATTTGTGGTTAGGGTTGCCAGTCCTCCAGGATTGCCCTGGTAACTCCAGGAACTGAAATATTAATCTTTAATTAAAGATTATTATAAGGGGACTGTTAGCCCCTTACTAAAACTCTGTGGGAGTTTTTGGTTCACCAGCTCCCAGTATCAAAAGGGAAAGGGTCCATGAGAAATCAGGGCCCTGAGACTGACAGACCCCAGAGACAATGGAAAGCAGCCAACACTCCAGCTCGGCCTGATTGACAGGTTGGACAGGCCAGCGAGGAAAGTAAGAGGCCAGGCCCCGTCCTCCCTGTGAGCTGGGATTTTTCTGGGTCTCTCTGAGCAAGGAGAGAGCTGAGAGACAGCTAAGAGGAGCAAGCTGTGTGGCGAGGCAGTCCTGCAGCAACAGAGACAGGCAAACACAGCCCAAGGAGTGCAAGCTGTGCTGAGGGGCAGTTTTGCAGCAACAGAGCCAGGCACACACAGTCCAAGGAGCATAGACCCTGTGTTGAGCAGCAGACTGACAGTGCTCAGAGAGCCAAAAGGGACAGAGAAGCAACGCAAGGAGCTGGGGACTGGCAAAGCAGCATAGCCTGCCACTGGGTGTGGTGAGCCGCTGGGACCAGCAAAGTGTGGGGGAGAGGCTCTGGACAGGGAGATATCACCAGCCAACAGGCTCTGCAGGCCAGACTGGGAGAGGGGGCTGACCACCTAGAGCGTGAGGCTGTGTGGTCACTGCCAGAGCAAGCGTGTCCAGCCTGCAGCCCCCCTGCAGCACATCCAGGGCCTCTACGGGCCTATAAGGAAGAGAGGGTATGTCTACACTACCCCGCTAGGTCGAACTAGCGGGGTAATGTAGGCATACTGCCCTTGCAAATGAAGCCCGGGATTTGAATTTCCTGGGCTTCATTTGCATAAGCGGGGAGCCGCCGTTTTTAAAACCCCGCTGGTTCGAACCCCGTGCAGCGCGGCTACACGGGGCTCGAACTAGGTAGTTCGGACTAGGATTCCTATTCCAAACTACCAGTACACCTCATTCCGAACTACCTAGTCGGAACTACCTAGTCCGACTACCTAGGAATCCTAGTCCGAACTACCTAGTTCGAGCCCCGTGTAGCCGCGCTGCACGGGGTTCGAACCAGCGGGGTTTTAAAAATGGCGGCTCCCCGCTTATGCAAATGAAGCCCGGGAAATTCAAATCCCGGGCTTCATTTGCAAGTACGGAATGCCTACATTACCCTCCTAGTTCGAACTAGGAGGGTAGTGTAGACATACCCAGACTGAACTGTCCTTACACTCTGCAGACTGCTGTTTTGATGTCCCCATGCTACAGAGCAGGACTGTGTGTTCTCATTTAACCATTCTCCTTTTTTCTTATTCTTTTCTCTTTAATCAGTTGATGTTTAATAAATTGTATTTGCTTTGAACCTTATGAAATGATCAGTGGGCCAAGAAAGCATGCAGTGTGAAGAGAGCACCTCGGTGTGGGGATTAAGCCCCAAGAAACCTGGGGTTTCCTGCATGTTGGGGTTTTGAGGACTCTGCTACTCAGGAGAGTGGAAGGGGACCCCTCAGGATCAGGGAGGCTGTGGGATAAAGGAAGTGGGAGCGGGGACTCAGATCCTTTCGCTGGTCCATTTCACCGGGGTGATAAAGAAGCCAGGAAAGTTCCCCACAATAGCTGGACCATTCCCCCGTTTACATTATATTTTGTGATGAAACCTCCAGTAATACAGCCAACCAAAATTAGCAATCCTGCTTGTGCTACTGCATCCCCATTCCAAAGACTTACTGGGTAGAAAGAAGTAGAGCTGCCAACCACTGAATGAATTAGTAACAAAATACATGTGTGGAGATGGTATGCAATCGTATATGGACCGCTTCAAAACATAGCAAATTACTGAAGAGTGAGTTATTTAATGTCTTTTAAACACAAGAATGCAGATCCTCAGCTACCAAGCTCAGCATCAGTTAGCAGAGTTATGGTATAACAGCTGGGGACTTGCCATTGAGTGTTAAAAAATATGTTCAAACCATGTTTCTGAATTTGTTAATATTTCCAGTTGGCTATTCAAGTCTGAACAATTAATCCTATAGCTTTGGCAATCTTAATACTATTAGCTCTACAGCAGTGAAATCACCACAACAAATGTTTGATTTTAATATAAATTGTTCTGCATAAATTATGTAATGCATTCAGTAGGCTATTGACTCATGCATGTTAAAAAGCATAGGGCACCATTATTTTTTTTTAATCAGAGCTGTGAGAAATTCTGGTTTTAATTTTCAGAAATGTTATTAAACCTTAATAGAAACAAATATTCAAGTAAATATTGTAAGAAATTGTGTGAGCCCAGCAAGTTTAATCAAATGGTTATGCAAAGACAACACTTTTGGCTGTCAACTGTATGTAACTAACAAAGAATTTTGTAATCATCCTTAGCATCTTGCAACAGAAGTTCAGAGAAAACCCAGCATGTATCTATGGTCACACTCCATTCCAAGATCCAGGGAAAGCCACCTGTCTCTCGTTCCTTTTGTATTGTTTGAAAATTGGCATGTGAGGTCTGGCCCCCGCCCATATTTCCTGTAAATATCTTCAGCTGATTAAGCAGCCTTCATCCTCTGACTTTGCCACCCCTTTTCTATTGCATCAAATCCAGGAAAGTCGGCTGCAACTCCTCAAAGCTTTTTTTGCTTCATTCTGGGGTCAAAA